CATGACTATTACAGAGTGTGCGTTGTAAGGACTAATTACGGTTTTGAATTCGAAGTACCCTTTTCGCGAGACTAGTCACCAACCACAGTTATAGTGTCCAATCTGTCCTGCGATATAACACATAGCTTTAGGGATAAGAGGTAGATTCATACCTTTCTCAAGGATATTTTTTCAAAAGTGACTATAACTAATTTGACTGGAATTCGAACTCGGCATGCTGATTTCTCGTCCTGAACCGTTAACGATTGTGATTATACTATTAAAGATAACGTCAAACAATTTAGCTAATAATTAATTTAGTTAATAATATATTTGATAATAACTTTAGCTAAGTAGAATACAAAATAAAGTTGTGAGAAATTAAGATATGATTATTATGTTGGCCACTCTTTGAAATGATCACATTCTTCTTGCCTTGAAAATCAGCATTCGAATCCTAGTATCTGGAAGTACAAAACTACAGAGTCCAGAAAACACAGCAACGTACTTTCTACTTTAAAAAGAATCACTGATTATTTTTCTGTTGTAAAGTTAGTTTGTCTTCTCCAACTGAAATGTGGTCGATTTCAGTGGCTAAACGATCCGTGACTATCGAGAAGCAATTTTTTTTAATTCGACATGAAAACACGTGTCATGAATAAAAATCAAATGTCACTTGTAGTTTGAAATGCGATGTCGATTTTTGTTACATCTGTTTTTGATCCTAAATTAATTGAAATCAGACAACCAGGAAAACTGAGAAGAAATGGAATCGATTATTCGATTTTCGATTGACTTATCAGTTTTACTTTTAAAATAATTATTCACTTTAGATATTTTACTTTGCAGATTTTTGATGTTTAAAAATTAATTCATAGCAAATAAATAAACCACATTGACTTAAGAAGTTGTGTTTCAGTTCTGAAGCAATTCTTCAATAAGCAAAATGAACAAAGAAAATATAGACACCAAGAACGAGAGACGAATAGAGTAAAAGAGAAAGGATTAGTGAAGAAGAGAAAAAAAAAAACTTTGTTTTTTTGGTTTATAAGATCTATAGTGTTCCCCAAGTGTTTGGCTGATAACCGATTGAAACTTTTTTCCTAATAAAATGAAACTGAAAACACACACACTTGTTTTGAGGGAGATTTTATTTTTGATGGGTAGGGTTAGTGGTTGTGTCAAAAAGGTTATCTTTATTATTAAGCTTGAAAGATGAGGCAAACTTGCGAGTCACATGGAGAAACAACCTCAATTGGAGACCGTCTAAGTAAACCGGGTTAACTGACCCGAAGGCATTTCTAACAGGGTCTCAGGCACAGAGTTACGCGCTGCTTTTATTAAAATCTCTCACCACATCGTCCATATTTGACTGTGATGCATACGCTTGGTATGCCCTTATCATACTGTGTCATGATGGGTAGATTGTACTCTCTCCTCAACAACAACAACAACAACAACAACGATAATAATAATAATAATTATAATGTATATTAACAGAATGAAAGTTATTTCAGCAAACATACTGATTGTAAATTACTTATAATGGAGAATGCTCACATAATGGAGTATTTTTTAATGAATTTCAGTTTAATTTTATTCAATCCTGAATAAAATAGGGATTGAAGTTTTACATTTTTTGAGTTGTTGAAAAGTTGGCGGTGTGAATGTCTGAAGTCAATATTTTCATGTTTGAATTCTTGAGAACCGCATTGGAAAGTCATTCTGAGAAGCATTTCTTTGTATGTGCTTCTCACTAGCTAAGGTAATTTAACTTATGTCTGAATTTATGGAATGAGAAGTTATCATTACTTGCACTATTTATATTCGAACTATTGTCTTCATCTTTGTTATTGTTATCACGACGTTTTGGTCGTTGTACCTTGCGGCCTTCCTCAGGTGTATATCGATCTGCATAACCTACAGGGAATTCTGAACTGAACACTTTAGTTTATATGGGTGTAGACTATTCTCGTTTCACTGCTCATATTTAGGTATATCTCATCTAGTTTTTTATTTTTTATTTTTAGTACTACTCAGTTATAGCACTACCCGGTCCAGGGATTAAATTCACAATCTGGTAACATAGTGATACTGATTTAAAAACCTGGAATGGGCCGGGCACAGTGAGTACCCGGATGCAGTGGAAACGGGGGAGCAATAACTGAGCAGTACTGAAAGTAAGAACTAGATGAGATATTCCGAGACATGGGTAGTGGAACGAGAACAGTCTATCCCCGTAGATTAAATAAAGTTCGGAATCCCCTGTAACTTACCCAGATCGATATATACATGAGGAGGGAACAACGACCCAAACATTGTGATAACAACAACAAAGATAAGGACAATAATCCTATTATAATTAGTGTAAATAATTTAACTTATATTTTGGGTACCGGCCCAGACATTGATCTTTCGATATTTTAAATATTCTAGTCAATCTATAAAATAGTGTGATCATCTTCCTATTTGATCGCCATTGAGCGTCACATTTTGTTGTTTTCTTTTGGATAAGGCATTAATGACAAATTTCAGATCAAAGACAAAATTTAGAATACTGTTTTTTTTTTGACAGATTACACATCAGAATTGGATGTGAATAAAAAAAAAAAACTAGTAACAAAATTAAGCGCACTTCTCGCGATTAAATTAAGACTTCTTATCTATAAACATGTTACTCATTTTTGTGTTGAAATTGTCTGATGGACTTATGTCCTTATCCCAACATTAATAAAATGTTAATAAATTAGGAACAGACAGACAGGATATGTCTCATATAAAACGACACAATAACTATTTTCATGTGAAGACGCGATACTTGAAAATCAATGAAACTGACATAGCACAAAAACGTCTTTCATAATGGTTTATAAAAGTGCTCAGAAATTGGACAGCTATTTTTTTATAAATATTCACCGAAAACCAGGAAATGTAGAAAAATAAATTAGAAAATCCTTAAAAAGGAACTTGGTTTTTAACGAAATATATAGATAAATAAATAAAAATCATTACAAAAGCAATATCTCCTAATTTAGAATGTTTACCCACGCCGTCAGAAGCGGATGTTAGCAGTTTGGTATCAGAGGCTGAACATTTCCGTCACCAAGCCATAATTGTTTTTCTTGTTTATCGGTGGCAAGTGTATAGTAGTCTGGCTAAACAGTGTCTAATATACGATGATATATGATATACAAAGCAGAGGTTTCTTATTGAATTTCCTCATACAGGAAAAATGTATCATTGACATTCATTGAACATTTATTAATGAACATTTATAGACATTAAACAGTGGGTATGAGTAAAGTTAGACGTGGGCCAAACAGTTGAATGTTTAAAATTTTATTCTCTTGTCGACGTTTCGTTCAGTAAGAAGAGCATCAAAACAACAACAAAACAAGTCGTTGCCTTGGAAACCGCGCAACTTATAAACCATGTGTTAATTTGATAATTCAAGTCAATAAATTGAAAATAAATATTTGAACAAATCAATGAGATTTGTGCATAGGAAAGTGCTAAAATGCAAAATGTAATGATTTGATACAAGAAAATAAAAGAAAGTTGATAAGACAACTAATGTTCAATTTTAATGTTCTTACTGAACGAAACAGTGGCAACAAAACAACATTTTAAACATTCAATTGATTTTCACATATTCCATCTGACACTTTCAGCAGGGTTTCAACAGTTATTTTATCACACACACACACACACACACACACACACACACACACACACACACACACACACATATATATATATATATATATATATATATATATATATATATATATATAATTTAGACAGTGCGAGTATTAGATAGCAAAAACGATACAAAATATCAAGGAATAATCAAGGCTGGATTCGTCCAGTCAGACATATGACCCGAGGGAAATGAAAATGTAGCCGTTATATAGTTATATAATTTTTAAAAAATCAATTCACCGGTAGATAGCAAGGCGATAATGCCACTAAGACACCGGGCTACTGGAAGTGAAAAAAAAATGAAAAGACTTTAGAAGCAATCGGAAACACAATTCTAAACAGGCAACAAGGGATAAACCTCTACTCCTGTTGAAAAGACTGGTGATAAATGTGAAACCTTAAGAATCATGTATAAAACTAACTTTTTTATTTAGAACTTATAGTGTCAAAAGCAGGCTTATAAATATGAATTTACCTTACATAAACATTTAAATACATATAATCGACTAAATATTTATTTATATGTTCTTATGTATGTATTCTTTCATATAGTGATATGTAATCATTTCTTAATGTAAACGCTGCTTCACGACGTCCTTAACGATTAAGTTTATTTAGTTAATGGACGAGATTCCGACAAGGTAATTGTAAATGACAGATAGCACCCCTTGAGTGACCGGTGCGACTTCTAGGGGACCATATTAACACACACACACACACACACACACACACACACACATATATATATATATATATATATATATATATATATATATTACCAAGACAAATTTTGCAAAATGACAACATTGGCTCTTCACCTTTGGCTCTTCTCTAGGAGAATGACAAGACTGAATTAAATACCTAAAGAGAATTGTTTGGAAACTTTCTGGTACACTGTGCACCAGTTCTGTTTTCAATTCTTCTGAAAAGTGGGGCTGATTAACGACAAACCTTTACCTTTCGAATCATATGATATGTGTAGGTTGTACGGAGGTTCAGTTCTAAAAACTGGATTGTTAGGCCCTCATAATTCGTAATCAATGGAAGAGTCCGAATATCTACGTATGTGTGTGTTTTGTGTATATTTTAATATTTCTGATGGACATTTTTATAAATACATACATATATAAATACATACATGCACAAATGCGTCCATACCTGAAAGTCAAAACGTAACAAGAAATAAAACATATATATATATATATATATATATATATATATATATATATATATATATATATATATATATATATATATATATGTATATGTAGAGAGAGAGAGAAAGAGAGAGGAGGTATTATAAGTATAAAATTAAATGCTCACTTACCTTGTAAATATCGTATGAGAACACATACTGTCTCTCCGAATATGAAAGTTTTTAAAAGCGCAGGTATTAAAGTGAAGGGCATACAAAATACGGCCAAAAGCAGGTCGCTGATGGATAAGTTGAGCAGAAAGACATTGGTAACTGTCCTCATCTTTTTATTTTGGATTAAGGTAACAATGACAAGGCCATTGCCCGTGACGGCGAGAAAAAGAATTAGAATGTAAAAGGGAAGGCGTATGTCGTCGCTCCAGTTAACATTTTGTCGATCTGACATTCGGCCCCCGACAGCCGCACTGACCGTACTGCTGGTAAGGTTTGATGTCGTTGGCAAAAAGGCTCCCTCTGGTCGAGAGTCCAGAGATGGGTGTAATTGCCGGACTGTCGCTGTTGTCGTTGCGTTGACGGTTAAATGGAAGAGGGTCGTTGTTGCCGTAGTTAAATTTGAACCTACGACTGTGTTGCTTGCGAATGTTTCCATTTTTATTTTTTTGGTGTTGTTTACAGCATGAAAATACCAATAAAAATAATTTTAGATTGATGCTAATAATTGTTTAAAATGGTTTTTGTTTTATTACATTCTTTTGTCTTCTGGTGGAAAATGTCTCTGTTTTTCTCATAGTTGTGAGGATTTTTTTCAAATTTTATTTTATTTTCTATTTCGCTATTTTCCGTCAATAACTTCGTTCTGTTTCTCAAGTTATTTAGTGATTTCTTTAAAAATTAGAATCTTTTTTCTTTTAATATTTTTGCTTCTTTTCTTTTTTCTTACAAATATATTCATATGACAAACAAAAATAATTCAAACCTATTTTACAACTTATTAAACGTTTTTCTTTATTTTGACGTCCTGTTTTCAATTTGAAAATACCTTTTTGCATTTGTTTCTTTGCTTTTTTGATATATTATGTAAATATCAACACCAGAACGGAAAATTTAATAATCCAGCATTTTTTCAGTCCGGCTTTTTAAAAAAAATGTCTTTTACAATTGACTTTCTTTCTTTGAAAGAAGTAACTAAAAAACCCAGAGGGTACCCTTTTGTTAATCCGTTTTGCTTTCTCTCATAATATTACTTCACGTAAAAAAAAATGTATGCAAAATATTTACCTTCAAAACGTTTTATCAGGGAATAAGCCACGTGTTAGGATCCTATTTTGGTTATCGTGCAAATAGATCGCCGTTGTCAACAACTCTGATACTGGTTATGGCCAACGAGCCACACTATACACCTACACCTCTCCAGGGCTCGAACCTAAGATCTGGTGGTCTACAGTTCAATTCTTCCATCGGCGGTTTTAACACACTAGGACGTGATGTTCACAGTTGACGCGACGTAGTCTGACGTGACGCTTCTTGCAGAAGCGTTTGTGGGTGCGCGCGCATCTAATAAATACGTGTTGATTTCAGCCCGGGGTTTGAAAAAATATCCTTACACACACTCCCACATGCACCCAATTACTGATAAATAGTTCGTCTGCTACTTGCCTTCCTATTTACAGCTTTCTTTTCCTCATCGTCGAACTGTAGAAGCTGTACGTATGCATATATACATTCGATAGACAAGCTTAAGTAACTGAACGTATTTATATAGCTATATATACCGACGTATATATCTGAGTATATATTTATATATAGCAAAGTCTGAAGTGGGGTAAGGGAAAGTCTAATTTTTATCTAGGATCTTAATATAGATATTTGGGCATGATCTTTTGGTTTTTCCCCCCGTAAAACTGCGAAACATCTTATTTAGAACTTATATTGTCATAAGCAAGACTTTGCCTTATATAAAAAATAAACATTTAAATGCATATGAGTGTCTAAATCCTGACACGCATCTGTCTATGTATTATTTCATATAGTGATATATATATATATATATATATATATATATATATATATATATATATATATATATATATATATATATATATATATATATGTGTAGTAAGAGTTTGTAGATAACCTAGATACCCTGATGAGGATTGGCTTAGGCAATTCTTTTACCCTTGGTCATCACATTTTATTCCATGTGATAGACTGACCGTAAATGCAATTGTGGTTCAAGTCTTTTTATTGGTTTAATATTCTTCTTCCCTGTGCTCGTTAACTTATTATTATGTTAACTTTTTGCCATTTTTGTTTTTGGGTGGGTTTATAAAGATGATCTTTTCTTTGTTATTTATATGAATTGAGAAGCCAACGATGAAAAGATGATCTTTTCTTTATTATTTATATGAATTGAGAAGCCAACGAAGCCAGCGACATCAACATAACCTGCAATGCACTCAGATGTACTTGTCGTGTATTTTATTAAAGAATACACATGGAGAAAATCTTTTTCTATCTCATCTTTATCCTTGGAAAAATCGAAAAAGAAATTCGATAGAGAATTGGGCCGTTTTAGACCAAAGCACTGTCATTATTGAAAAGAGAATTCTGGAAACTTGAGATGACTTGTTGTCACTTGTTACTACTGAATCACCACAACGAAGGAAAAAAAAAGAAAAGAATACTTTTCGGTTACAAAATAAAATAAAATAAATATTCAATGAACGTTTTGTTTTAAGATGAACTAAGTAGCATTTCTATAGAGTGTCTACTAATACTTATACTTTACTACTACTACTAATATTAATAATAATAATTTAATATTTTAAAAATTAAGTGGAAAAACGGCTTAAGGAATATCTTAAATTTAAAGGATTAAATTTGATTTCAGGAGATAAAGGAACAACAACAACAACAACAATAATAATAATAATAATAATGAAAGCAAAAGGTGCCAGTATTTTATAGTAATATTACTAGTTGTGTTACTATTCGTAGTATATTCAGTACTACTGGTAGGGATGAAAGGAAATAATGATCGGCTTAACGTTGCTAAAATAAGGAAAAGAAAAGAAAAAAGTTTTCGTGTGAGACAATTCTGCTGCTGTTGATGATGTTCATATAAATGATGTGATGTTGATGTTGGCGGGGAAGTGGAAAGAAAACAAAATGTTTTTAAATGATGAATCAGTCAATAGAAAAGGAAGAGATGAATTCAAGAAAGAAAAGGAAGAGATGAATCCAAGAAAGAAAAGGAAGAGATGAATTCAAGAAAGAAAAGCAAGTTCTACGACAGAGAGGAAAATGAACCAAGGGAAAAGAGAAACGCGAATAGAAAGAAAGAAAGAAAGATAAAAGTTATAAGGTTGAAACGATAAAGAAGAAGAAGAAGAAGAAGAAGAAGAAGAAGAAGAAGTTCTTTTTCTTTTTACTTAATTTTGTATTTGTTGCAGATAGAAACTGTGGATTACCGTTGATGAATAGGGGAGTGGGGAAATGGTGGCGTTGTTAAATTACTAACTCAGGATAATCCAGTCACTTAAAAACGATTCATCGTTTGGGAAATGTTTTTCGGTTTCTCTTGTGTTTACGTCCGCGTGTGTCTGTGTGTGTACACGTGCGCATGTGTTTTTGTATGTGTATGCGCACGTGTTTTGTTTTTGATTTGCTTTGTTATGGTTTTTCTATGAGCGTCTCTCCGCGTGTGTGTTTCTATGTTAACACTCCAGAATTGTTTTATTTGACAAAAAAGATTCAGGGTTATTTAGTAGTTTACATTTAACATATATACATTCTTTTAAATAATTTTTTCCCTTGATGTGTATCTATCCTCTATACATACATACATAGATACATACATACATACATACATACACACACACACACATATATATATATATATATATATATATATAGATATAGATTTAGATAGATATAGATATGTGTGTGTGTACACAAAGAATCGGTTAATACTAAGTTATGTATCTATGTTTCCCATGTCACTGCAAACTGTTTTTGCAGTTAAAAACGAGGTTTTATTTTTTGCCAAATGTTTTAAAATTCAGAATTAATGTAATATGTTAATTATTTACGTGTGACTGTGTTTGAGTATAAAAGATGGTCATGTATATAAAGTGCTTGCGTTGTTCGTAAAAGTAATGTTTACTGCGTATTATATAATGGCATATTCTGTTATGTAATAATGTTTATATATATATATGTATATATATATATATATATATATATATATATATATATATATGTGTGTGTGTGTGTGTGTGTGTGTGTGTGTGTGTGTGTATACTTAATGGAAATTAAAAAGATGACACGTCAACGTTTATTACATAGCATTTGAAATTTTAGGTCTTGCACGTCTGCAACCAAATCAGCTATAAGTCATATAATAAATGTGTTTTTATAGCGACTGTATAAGAAGAAAAACAAACTTTTTAGCAACAATTTCTACTTATATTGCCTGCATAATATTGTATGTTTTTAGATGTCTCTATAACGCAAGTCGTCCTCTAAAAACTCCGAAATGTAAAGAAGACGCAGATTACTCTTGCAGCTTATAAAACCGGTTTTTTTTTGTATGAAGGAGAAATAATGTTGCTGGTATGGTATTTATAGAAAGTCTTCCTGATGAATCTAATAATAAAAATTAAAGAAAGCTAAAAAGGGATTTCTTTTACATCTGTGCGTGTGTCGAAGTTTAATACGTACAGCTGAGTTATTTGTATTAGGAAAACAAGTTTATCAATAGTTTATTTAAATTCTAATAATACATATTAATCTATGTATGTATGCATGTTTTTATGTATAATAAGATGATCACTTTTTGTTTTTTTTTTTTTTCGTATAGCCGAAAAACTGTACAAATATTACGGCGGTTAAATGTTTGGAAATTGTCTATAGATTTGTAAAGTGCCGTAAAATAATTTTATCTTTAATAAGTTTTTCCAATTCAGTTACTCAAATATCTAGAAAATGGTAATGATCGGTATTTACAGAAAAAACAAAAAAACAAAAAAAAAACAGATGCCAAGTTAAATCTTCCGAGTCTATTGCGTACCTAAAACATTAGTATATAAGTAAACGTGGTGACTATATGTATACAGTTCTTGATATGTAGAGACGGATGGAGAATTTAAGTACTACAAAGATATATCAGACACTTTTTTAGCTCTGTTGATAGATTTATATGTACATATGAAATTTTTTGTATAAATATCTAACAATGAATGCACGTGTTAAAATAATATGGAAATAAGTAATTGTTTCGATTAGATTGGAAGCACACCGGAAATACAAGTGTTAATGTATGTTTTTGGACGAAGGTTTTTATGCACGAAAAAACACCTTTATATAGGAATTTTATGTAGCGTGATACATGCGTGTGTCTGGTTTTTTATATCGTTTTAATATTATGAGTTGATCAATAATGAGGTTCAGTAGTTTTTAGTTGCGTTGGAAACGTTTGATAAAAGATAAAATTGATTTACTAATTCAATAAAATGTGAGCTTTATGCAAACTTACGCCAACATAGGTTTTCATAAGTTTTTAAAGTTGAACAATCCCATAAACTATCTTTGTTCATACGAAAACGTATACCGTTCTTTAAATAAATATAAGTATATTTATATACGTAT